TGTTATCACTATTATACAAATTGTTTTTCATTGATTAAAAGAGTTGTTAAAGAAGTGCGATAATAATATATGTCTTTCTGTCTGTACATGTGTGTACGTATGTTTATTCATTCAGACATGCTCAAACATTTGTGTTATAAATAATTATTATTAATATCAGAGCAAAAAACAAAAAAAAAAATATTTCACGACTGTGTAAATAACAAAATGCAAATAGTCCAAACAAATAAGGCACGATAAATTGTCAGTTGAAAGGTTATAACCTAATAATTGAAATGAGTAAAGCAAAGAGGATAATAACATGCGGTCTGATAGTAATAAGAGATGAGGAGGATTCAACACGCACTGATAGAATACCTGAATTCTTTTCGTTAAAGTCAGCCATTGGCCAACATTCTGGACAAGCATCCTGCAACGATTTCGTCTGCTTGGCCGTATAGGTCGTTTTTATCTACAATGTTTGGGATTAAATTGGAATAATAAAATTGAAATTCCACACATTGAATTCTTTTCTTTTTTGACTCACATAAATTAATAGGTCAAATAATTAAACAAAATAAAATTTTAATTTCTTTTTTGTAATAAATTTCTATAGAAAATTCACAAGAGATGATAGAATTGGATACTTAAGGTTAAATAAAATGAAGCTAATATCGTTGGAATTTTTTGAAAGATGAAAAAAATAATTATTAGAAAATCAGTTTAATTACAAATTGCACCACAAATACAGTACCTGTTGTTCAGGGTCATAATAGTCGAAGAGTACAACTTGTGCCGGTTTTTGTTCTGATATCTGATAAACCATATCACTGTATAATGACAGACATATCGGTGTTGAACCGATCTGTAAACATATTTCGTTTCGATAAAGTTTATAATAAATGTGAAAAATTTCCTCTACTTTTAATCTCGATGATATAATCAGCTTCTTTTAAAATACATGAATAAAGCTGACAGGACATTTTTGACTAAAAAAATTAAAAAAAGAATCGATCATGCTTGATTAAGTTTCACTATGGAAAAAGTGATAATCCATTCCTACATTAATCTAAAACTGATAATTTCTCTCAGTCATATATTTTATTTTATCAATTTAATTCTTTAGAGAAATATTAAATTTTATACAGGATTGAAGTATAAATTCATCCGAGTATCCTCGTTATCCAATTCAGCTCTCTGCAAATCGCCAATGTCCATAAGATTGCCAAGTTGATCACCGTCAAAACGAAATCCGGATAAAGCGTCTACTTCAGCAACTGCCATGTTGGAACGTGAATCCGGTTTAGTGTAGCTGGAAAAAAGGTTACTGTAATTAAATTAATAGATGATAATTTAGGACAGCACATAAAGAAATATAAAAATCATCAGAAAATTGGGCATCAAAAGGTCGAAATGAAAGATTTTAATGATTTGCAATGAGGTTATCCATAGAAATTATCGTTTGGTAATTTACTGAATAAAAGAAAAGTACTTGCAACAGAGGTCAAGCTGTAATCGATTGCCACTGTGCAATTCACGAACTTCTTTTGTACAATAGAACGGAAGATCATCTCTCATTGTGGTACGATGATATGAATACTGTAGTTGTGCAAGAACGATACCATTACCTTTAGCTTCCAGCTCTAATCCTTGATCCAAATTTGCTAGCTATAATGGATATAGCTATTTGCTCACTTATTGTCACTAATTTGCAGAGAATGTGGAAGGGAATAAAATGTATATTATCTTCAAATTAAATAAAATAATTTAAACAGATTGGAAATAGAAGTGTATAAACAAAAGTTATTTGTATTTGAAAGAATTCAATTGAATATCGCAATAAAAATAGTGATAATTTAAATGAAAAAAAAATGAGTGAAAATTGTTGGATGTACTATATGAACAGGAAATTGTTGTTATCATAATCACAATTGCAAATTATCATTTTGACTATTATTGATAATGATATTACCCAGCTATTACTGATAATTTTCGATGATGATAAAGGATAAAATATTGAATCAACGTTGCGATTAATAAATGATAAAGATTGGGATCAATTTTGTACTAATCATCATTACTGCTTTCTCTTTTTATTATATCAATATAAATGCTGTCAAATTCAGATAATGCGAAGAAATAATCCGAATAACAATAACCTGATAACTTTGTAGTACCATAGCATTATCAGCTGTTATTTCGAAATTTTGCTTATTAGCACCATTTATTATCATGATGCTAACATTGAGTTGTGGAGAATAAATTTTAGCTGCATAAGCAGCCAAAGCTTGTAATGCCATTATTGTATCCTAAAACGCGTCACATTGTTATTAACAATTATGAATAAAACAGCAATAAATACATTTATTCATAAAACGATCTCACCTGCGTACTACTAAAACCGCCATATGCATTTCGTTGTGATGTAAGCCATCTCACCACCGGATGAGCTTTATCAATATCATCTCTTAATACATAAGTAAGTAAAACATAAGCTGTCATCTCAACATCCACCGGTTTTGGCTGATAGAAATAATGTTGTGTATCTTTCGGCTTTTCCTGACCAACTTTCATAGACCAATAAATACCATCTGCAATTTTAGAAATTAAATTTTATTATTATAAAAAAAAGTAAAAACAATCATATTAGAGCGGATTTTGAATTCTAAAAAAATGCTCAAATCAAAAATCCCTTTTTTTTTAAAAAAAATCACATAATGTTATGTACTGTTACATATTTACACAGAAATATTACAACTGAAAATATAATTGAATTGTATCATTTATGGAAGAAAATTTCACCATAACCATATCTTATCAGCAAATAAAATGATAAAACTGACCGGTGTTTTCCTTCTTATGAGATTCGAGCATTCTCAGTGCTTCCTCTTTTTTGGTACTATCAGCTAAGTGAAACACGTAGGTGACAATTGCTAATGCATATGGATCATTCTTGACTTCCTCCAGATGCTGTTCCAAATAGTGCTGTGCTTTTCCATCTCGAACCTGAATTACTGGACATAATTAGTGCTCAAAATAATGATCATTACTGATAAGTTGGTGATTATAGTTGTTACAAAAGTTTATACAGAATGCAGTACAGGAAGGTAAGGATGAGCTTTAACATTTATTTTTAAGAAAATTAATTTAATTATGTTTACTTATTCGTTAAAATTAATTTAAATTAAATAGAATTAACCCCATTTTCGAGAAGTGCAGCATAAACATAAGCGGTTAATGGTACGCCACCTTCAGCTGCACCACCTTGCATTGCTTTATGGTGAACTTCACCACGTTCCGCAAATGCACCATTTTCCTACAACAAAGACAATTAGCGCTTTTTTAGCTAAAATGCATTTCTGAAAATAAGTATTATTTCATCACTCATTTTAGAACATCCGGAAAGAGGAAACAGGAAAGAAAGTAGGAGTCGGGAAAAGAAAGAGGAATTAGGAAAGCAATAACCTGCTGCTGTTGAGCGTTCAGGAATGCAATCGACTTTTGAAGGATTTGCTCATCGACAAAGATGAATTGTTGGGCTTGCTTGAAAGATCGAACAACAAATGCCGTAAGCCATGTTGATCCATGCTTATCGCTTTGACCAAACGCTGAGAATGAATGGTCATCTCTCCTAGAATATATGAATTTTCACGCTTATATATCACAGATTCTTTTAGGATTTAAGTTATTAATTGATCTGTGTTAATTATGGTATCGAATAAAATCAAATGTTGAAAATTTCAATGCATTAATTAAACAATTTCTTCCTCTAAACAATTTATAACTGTATTGCTTGAGTGAACTTTACAATCTACTTCAGTATATCGTTCTTCACTACAATTTGCAATACTGCAGTTCATTCTCAGATCAATTACTTAAATATTGAATGAGTATTTTCTATATCTCTGAATTGCACTAAAATAAGTATATCAATAAAAATTGAAAAATGAAAGAAGAGGTAAAATGAGAAGAGAAGAACAGAAGAGACGAAAAAAGTTTGTTATTGTCGTTATTTTGACAAACATTTCATTTATGTTTTGCTCATTTTATTTTTACTCAGATGATGATCCATTTGACCTTTGTTAACATTAAAATTATCATTAGCAACCCCTTAATCATCAACGATTGCTGCTGTCAACATCTATCTGTCAAATGTTTAAATCGATGATTTTGAAATACCATTTTCTCCAAACATCATAATATTTAGAAATCAATTAAGGACATTTCTTTCATCAATTATTATTTCATTATAATTACCGATAAGTAAGTTCCCGTTGATATCCCGATTCCATATACTTTTTTGCTTTGTTTTCAATTTGAGTTCCTGCTTGTTTGGTCACTTTTAAATAATGAAGTACAGCAATGTTTGGTACAAAATTGATCATATTCTGTTCACCACAACCATATGGCATACGTATGAGAGAATCGATATTAGCGAGAGCTGAACCTAACAAATCACCTGAAATAAAAATATCAATAAAGATTTAGAAAAAAAAAGACATACTATGAAATTACTAATAAATGAGGAAGAAATTTGAAAATAAAAGTGGGGAGAAATGTGGTATGAAACATTTTTTTTATTTTTTTCAAGAATTAATGATTAAAAATTGACCATAAATGTAGTTGACAGTTATCACTGTTATTAAGAGCTTCTATTAAAAGCTTATTTATACTTAACCTATCAATGATTTTGATCACTTAAGCAGTATTAAATATCTAGTATTTTTCTAAATATCATTGCTGTACTGAAAAACTTTTAACTCATTCATTTCAAGTTTGTATAAGTTTGTATAAATAAATTCCTACTTTATCAGCTTAAATTTTATTTCTGATATCAATTCAGGTTGAACCTTTAAAAATGAAAGGAGAAATCGAACAGCTGTCACTAGCAAATGGTATTATATCTGTATTTTGTATTATCATTATTATCAAATATGACTGTAAAAAATAGGGAAGAACTAAGAAGTGATCACAAAATATTTGAGGAATGATATCTAACGAAACGGATTCGTCGCTAAATATTCGTTTACGTCAAATTCATATGCGGAAAGTGAAATGTATGTTTAAGCATAATAAGAATCAATGAATTAAAAATTGAAAAACTACTCAAATAACAAATGCTTTAAAGTCAAAATAACAAATATAATTGGTACCTATGACGTCGAATCGTGCCTTTCGAGATCCTTCTACGGCATCCATTGGAAATTGCATATCTATTTGCTTTTTAATTTCAGCAGTACCGTTTGTTTGTGTCAAATCAAGCATTATAAGAGTATTCCTGTCCACTCGATATCCCTCCGGCTATAATTCATGTCCAATTGCTAATTTCCGTTATATGCTTTATTAGTGATAAACTAAAAAATAAGGTAATAGAAGATAGATACCTCAACTCGTAGCACCTGTTCTACCGCATCACCTGCTATAGCAGATTGCGCTGTCACGGAAAGCATCACATCACCAATCTTTGTTGGTACAATAGGAAAGTAAACTGCTTTGGATACACCACCACTCGGTATGGATATCAATCTTACATTATGTTTCTTGTTTTTCATATTTTTACTGTAAAATGAGCACAATACTGATAGTCATATCCTTACTGTAAGACGGGAAAGACACTGAGAGCATATTCTCACTGTAAGACAAGAAAAATACACATATGCTTACTGTAAGACAGGATAAGTTGATTAACTTTGGGCGATATTGATGAATACAGTTAAAAAGTCTCGACAAAATCAACCAAGAAAATTATCGCCTAATATCCCATACATGTATAATGTTTTCAATAGCATAATTTACCTTGTAAATTTTTTAATACTACCATCTTTCTGCAGAAAATCATAACCAACATCATCACCATCCTTCAATGTTACCCTTACCTGTAAGGTAAATTCATTGTTAGCTAAGAAATGTGATAATTTAAATATTTATGTGTAAATTTCAACGAATAATAATAACCATCACAAATAGTGACTAGACAGATAATCATAATTTTATCAATTTAAATGATTGATATATGAATGAAGAAATAAACTAACATCTTGTTCACTATCCATGTAATTGAAGATTAACACTTGCAAGGCGAATTTCTCACCACGTTTCACAGAGTGCGGTAGATTGATACGAATGAAAAACGGTCGAAATACTGTTAGCTACAATTGAGCAAATATGAACAAAAACACCTGTACAGGTTTAAATATAACCTTAAAGAAATATATGATATAGCAAAGTGAAAGAAATTCATTGCTCATTTGAATGAGAAAAAAATATTTGAAGTGAGAAAAGGAAAAGAAGTTTCACATAAACGATAGCTATGGTAATTATACCTTTGAAGTGGATGGAGCAACACCAAGACCAGTCTCGTCATTGATAGCGAAAGCGCTTGCAACCCAAGATGTTATTGTATCCGGTACAACTGCTTCGAAGACGGCTTCTCCGGTATCTCTGAAATGCTGAGATATTCAAGTATCTATTATTACTGAGATATTATCTTCAATCTATCATCTCTCTAAATCTGAGGATTGCATTTTAATATTTACATTAAAACAACAATTTTTAAGTTTGATTATCTGTTACAGTTAAATAGTTTGGAATTTTTCATCAATTAAATTCAAATCAAAAAAAGAAATGTAATTAAAAATTCTTCCTTTAAAAATAATTCCTCATTTTCAGGTCGAACTTTCATTTTAAAAATGATTTTAATTAAAACGACCAATATTTTTCCCAGCCTGATTTTCAACATTATTTGCAAAAATTCTCTTATCTTTTGACGAAAAATTTTTAAAATTCGGACAAATAAAATTTCAAATGTCACATTGATCGGTCTTGAAAATATCTATGAATTTTTTTTGAGAAATTGAATCTCGGTCATCAAGACTTAAGCTTACATTTAGTTTTTTTGATAGCAAATCTATCTCTTATAACTGGCATTCCTTCAATTTATCTTTTTAAAAAGTTCGTCTTATAAGTTTCTTGTCATTTTTGAAGAGAGAAAAGGTCGCACACATTCAAATGAGGCAACTGACCTCAATCGAGATCTTCTTACTAAGCCATTACCACTGCTATTCGATAATACCCGGCTCTTTAGATATTCCCCATGTATGCTGGATTGGTATTACGGATATGACATAAAATTGCTGTTGCATATATAAAATTATAGATATGTGTATAAGGTCAAATATATATTTCCAGTAGACTTCATCACTATTATCAGGTCAATCTTCTTTATACCTGAGAAAAGAGAACAGAAAAGATATTTAGGACCGTCTAACAGAACCCCCGAACTATGCTTCTGCCCTATCGAATTCATTTATGCATCATTAGTGCTTTTATCTAAAAAGTAATTCGAAATGAATTACTTGCATATTTTGCTAGATTGCAATAAACTTTTTCTTTCTTCCGGTTGAATTCTGACCGAAGAAAGATTAGCATCTTTTGCGGGAAATAAAATACGCAATTTTTTTTTTCTTTCAGATGAAAATAATAAATAAGAAATTATTGAAGCAAGCCGTTTCTTTAAGCAATAGGAAAATCTGTTTTTTTTTTCTGAGTTTCAAAAATTTACAGTGGTATCAAATAGAGTATAAGTTAGAAAAAGAAGTAATTCTTTTGTGTCCCTTCAGAAAAAACAGTTTGTCGTTAAGATTGTACGAATAAATTTAGAAGTCCAGCAGTTTTAGCTTCAACATAAAGAGAAAGACAAATCGAAACGAACAACATTGAGAAAATGGAATTGCTATATGTCAGATAAGTTAACAAAAAAAGTAAAGGTTAAAGACTTCAAGTTTGATATGATAACACTGATATTATAACTTCTACTGAAATGGTAGGAAGGATAGAATTAGTTAAAATCTACAAGCACGTAGTACATCAACTGAAAGAATCATGTATAACATAATATATGCTTATGATAGGGATAAATTACGTATCTCAGAGGTGCAAAAGGATTGTTGTGTATGAGAAAACGATTGACGTAAGTGTGAATTATTAAGTGATGTGAAGTGAACACGTGCTATCATAACACTCTTTAAATTAAGTGTAGAAATAATGAAGAAAATAGTATGTGGAAAGTTGTATGGCTTTATTTTTGACTTAATAATTAAATTACTGTAGCATGAAGCAATGAAGTAATGTTATATAATACAGCTAAAAAAAAGATCAACGGTAAATACAAATAATTAAGCTCTCTGTTATTTCATTAATTTCTTTTGCATTAATCAAAACAATATGTAATAATCATATTTGGATGGTATGAAAAGAAATGATAAAGATGATAAGTTACGAAAATAGAGAAAACAAAATGAAATGGCTAATCATTAATTTATCGTCGGATTACAATCAATAATTTTTGTGAAGTGAAGTAATATAAGGTATGCATTCCAATCCTTTATATTAATTAGTCAGAATTTGCTATTATTTGTTTTGATAATGGACGGGACAGGAAATAATTCATTATGAACAGAATGATATATAAACAATACCGAGTCTGCATGTTGCTCCAAACCCATGTTTCCGGAAACAATTTCCGTATTTTAGGTAAATCAGATAAGATGGAATTTTGCGCCAATAACCTTTGATCCATACCTACTTTAAGTACAGAACGTGCAGCACCAAATGCGATTGCTGGAAATCGTCGCCAACTTTTGTAATGCACTAAAATGGAAAAAAGCCAATCAGGTCAGTTTGGAATAAACTTCAGCAAAGGATCAAGAAGTGCTTTACATGGAAAATGTCAAGTATATATAATTAAGAGAGGATGCTGTAATGAAGGAACAAAATTACTGATAAAATGCCACGCAAGAATGACTGTTATCATCAAATCAATGATAACATTGTGAGAATGATCATGTATGATTAATGCATTCTGATATAATGTGATAGTGATATCATGCAGTGCCAATAAAAAAATGATCATTCTTTTGCAGCGCTGATAAAGAAGAAAAAAGAGAAATGACAACATTTAAATACTGCAGTGATAAAATGATATCTGTTCGGCAGTTAACTGAAAGAGGATGGAGTAATGGGTCAAACAGCTTCAATGAAAATTTTTTGAAATTGCTAAATTTAATAATTATCATACTGCTTTGATTATGATTTCTTGTATAACTGATACCATAGTTAGAACAATGTTGCGAAGATAAATAACTTTTGTGAGCAAAACGAAATACTAATTAATTGATAAATTCAATTTTGGTACTTTTCTATTTTGCATTTTTACACACAGTGCATTAGAAAGAAATGAGATTGTATTATCTCTGTTATATCACACTGTTATGTTTGCTAGTGATAAATGCTTATCATGCTTGCGGTAAATAGAGAAACAGTGAAATAATATACTGATAACACATGAAGGATTCAGAAAAACATGCATCGTGCATTGTGCATGATGTACGATTGGTATTTTTTTTTTCATTTTACCACATGAGCATAACTATTGCATTGATTTTTGAAAATTAATTTCGAATTAAATCATTATTTGCTTTGCAATATGCTTGCAAATCAAAAGACAATGATATGATGTCAAAGACTGAAAAACTGAAAAGATTGCTTTTTTTCCGGAATATTGAGAAATTAAGTGAAAGTTTTAATATTAAATATTGTAAAATTAACAAAAATACAAGGAAAAATTAATCCCACAAATTACTGATCGTAATTAAGTCTCTCAGACTTCATCAAAATGAATTATCATCTTAAAAAAAGAAAAAACTTATTGTAATCAGCTTTACTGAAATTATGATAGGTGACAATTAACTTAATCAAAAATCTTTATGATCCATACCATTAATGAAGTCCTTTAGTTATAACAGACTAAAAATAGACTGTAGTGGAAATTGATAAACAGATTACTATCATTTGAATATATCAGCACTTCCGTATTATAATATGATTACAGATCAGAAACTTGCAATCAGTTGATTAGATCAGAAGCTTGCAATATTGGATGCATTGCAGTGATGGAAGAAGATTGAGTGATTGTGAAGGATGCAAAAAATGCATGTCAGATGAGAGATCGCTTTCTTTCTTTACAAATTTAATAAATAAATGAATATATTGTTGTGGAAAGGAATTGGCTATGATAAATAGCCAAAAAAATTAATAAAACTTCGGATCTCTTATAAATTATCACAAATCAAGCAAACTTTTCCATCTAAATTAAAATAGAAAAAACTGTTAACTCAGTTTCGTGTTCTTTCTAAAGCAATTAAATAAGTGGATTTTATTAATGCTAAGTGAATAAATCATTGTCACTTCATAAATTCAATTCTTATTTACATTCTCTATGAATGAATTATAGTCGGTATTTAAGAGTAACTTAAATTAAGTCCTCTGTTTACACTCTTCTCTTACACCAAAAATCAAACTCATATTTTAAAAAACACAAACTAAGAGAAGGGTATATTTAATCTAACTAATGTAGATGCACCTCAATCAATACGTTCTAAATTGATAAAATGAGATGATAAAAGTGGATAGAATCGATCTTACTCGGCCGCAAAAGTAGCGCTCCATATCCACGATTCCGGAAAATTCTTCCTTATTCGTGTGTTTTCAGAGTTTTTCACAGAAGCGACAGAAATCATATCGTTTTCTAATACTATATTAGAATGGAAATTACTGCCCAATGGTTGTGCTAATACCGATCGTGCAAAGCCTGAAATATTTAGCTCCTTCCGGTTCCTGATGGTGATATGTTTATTATTTGATATTATTTGCTTATGCGAGTATTATCACCATATTTTTACCATATTGCTAAAAATTCCGAATCTATTCATGATATATATGCAAGTGATACTGGTAGCGATAGTAATTGATGTGATAATACTAGCAAATGTGGTACTAAAATTGACAGTGATAATATTACTGATAGTTATACTGTACTGATGACGATTACAATAATTGCAACGCTAATACTGCCATGTACTATTGACATTATCACCGATAGCATTTAAGAAATGTGTGATGGATTTGTGAAGAAATTAATCAATCAGCTTTTGCTTAGTATAAAAAAAGCACATAAATAAATATTTCTTGTTAATTAATAATAAAAAATGCAGCGAAAGTTAGATTTGACACTTTCTTTGATAATTAATTAATCAATTAATTGACGCATTTTGTTAATATTGCACCCCTGACAATGAGCAAATCAATAATTTCAGTGGAAGAATTATGAGTGAAGAATGATTTATGTGTTAAATATGAAATAAATTAATATATTTTAAATTTTCGTATTTGCTACTGTAATCTTTGGAAACACTCTACTTTTTCCTATATTTTTGTACGAAAAGAAAAAATTCCTATATTTTTGTACGAAAAGAAAAAATTCTTATATTTTTGTACGAAAAGAATACTATTATAATCTCACTGTTTTGCTCCTTGAAACTTCTTAACTAATTCTTAAATATCTTTTGAGTACAAAACGATTGAAACTGTTTCAAAAGCATTATATCAAAAAGCACTGTGTATATTTTACAGTTCGAGTATTTACTTGAACATCTCATGGATAGCTATCGAGGAATAGACAAGAATCTTGTAATTAGCTCTTCAGTAAATTGTCCATCTATTATCATTTTTGGAAGGTATTAGATGGGTGAATGGTTTATTTTTTAATCGTTAAGCGTTTCTGAACGATCTGAGTGCAATTAGCGCATTGAAAAATTGCAGCATGCATTAAATAGTAGCAAAGCCCAGAAAGTTTAGCATTTGCCTTTAAATATAATAGGCATGAAAAAAAGAAAAAGATTGGTAGTCAGTAAATTTCCCATTTGGTAACCCTTATATAATTAATTATTCATTAGATAGCTATAGGCTTGAAAATTACTGAGAAAGTGGTTCATCATAATAGCCAGAGAGAAAAACTGTCATCTCTTCGACCATCCCAGGAAAGCGCATTAACTATCCTTTATCCACATAAAAAAAATTTGTGCATATTTTAATTTTTTGATTAATTATATATAAATTAAGCAATGGTTAGTAGCACAGGTAAATAAATTATTATTTGCAAAATAGCAGTAAAACGTGAAATATCGGCGCAAACTGTAATAGCATGCATTTCATTCTTTTTCTTCTTTTATCATTCTCAGAACAAAAAGTCAATAAAAATTTCGAAACGATAAAAAAATGTATAAATTTAAGATGACACATCAATAATATTTCAAAGGTTAAAAATGAAATCTTTTCATCTTATCTCCGCTTTTCACAATTCGTTTCCTGTAATAATAGGAGGCGTGGAGAAAATGTGGCTACAATAGTTTCACCAAATAACTTACCTAAAATATTAGGTTCTCCACGAAATAGAAGCGCATCAGTTAGAACAACCAAACCTGAGTTCTGTAAATTTATTCATTCTTTCACGGTTCGAAGGATTTTTTTTATCTTTCCAAATATACAATATTGTTTTGTTTTGCTCTGTTCGTTCATTAAAAAGTTTTTTTTTTTTTTTTGCAAAAATAACGGAGAAAAAACGCCTGACATCAAAGATCGTTGCCGCATCTCTGCCACCGATTCCCCACCATGGATACCAAATGGATCGTTTTCGACGTAAAACGTCTGCTTCCCACGATCGGAAATCACGTCCAATAACTGTCGTATCATACTGTTCTACGTCTTCTTCCACCTAAAGTAAATGATTGTCCATTTTCCGGTAATCATATACGAAAAATTATTGATGAGAGTTCAGCTATTCGAAAATGCGAAATTGATTCAAAAAAGAATCACTGTAATATGTTCGATAATTATTTGATTTAAAAATTTTTTTGTTTTTGCATAAATTAAGAATGAATGGAAGATTGGCTTGATCGATCATAAGTGAGACCTAAAAAGATATTGTAAATTTTTGCAAATAGTTGGAATTTATAAATAAATAAAGTTTACAAATAAACTAATCAAATTTTAATCCTAAATGAATTTATTTTATACTTACCAAATCTTTTGTAATATCATTGCCAGATTTTAGAAGTAAGACACTTTGATCAACAGCAAGTAAGGCGCAATATGATTTTGGATCTGCTTTTACAGTATATTTTACTGAACTACCCGGTTCTGCTGTAGTATGATCGACCGTAAGTGAGACCTAAAAAAGAAATTGTAAATTTTATTAAATTTCTTTAAAATTTTGCCATCATCTATTATATTTTCTAACTTGTTTAATTGATTTCTTAAATTAATTTTTTAAAGTAATTTTTGATTTTCAATCAATGTTGAATAATCTGCTAAAATTTAAGATGACTAACATTATTCCGGAATAAGCCATCAACTCGGAAATCGGTAGCATCGACTAGAATTTCCTGATTTGATGTCCGAACGGTATATACGACCAACATCGCTTTCGGTGCCATTTGTGATGTTGCTGTGAATGTAATTGTTGCCAAGTCACCGTTCAATGACATGTTCTGGACGAGAATTACCGATCCACGAGCTACTACCTGACGTGTGATAACAACGTTTATACTTATCAGTCATAACTTGATACGTTGAGTTAACAGTTTCATGGCAAATTAAATGGAGTGAATTCATAAATTTGAGGTCCAAAAAGCAATGATTATCATTTAGAATTTCTTCTAACAAAAAAGTCTTGCGTCATTATCGCTTGTTTTCACTTTTAAAAAACATATAATAGCATCGATTACAAGAACCTGATAAGTAATTGTAGATAATGGTTCGGTAGCTTTGACAGTAAATGAGAGTGTTTTCCCTGTATCAACAACACCGGTATTATCGGCAATTAATTGTAAAAAATTATTTGATGGACTTTTGCCTGCTTCAATATAAAGAATTGAATAAATGCTCGCATCTTTGAAATCATCTTTTCCGGAACGGTCATAATGCGCCTGCAGTAATTGCTAATATTTGTTGTTATATTAAAAAAAGTTTATCTGAATATCTGAAAATTTATCTCAATCAGAGGTGATAGAGAAGATGACGAATTAAACTGATATGGAATGTCGAGAACGAGTTAAACTAAGGATCCGGAATGTCGAGAACGAATTAAATTAAAAATATGGAATTAAACTAAAGATACAGAATATTGAGAAAAGTAAAAACATAAGTATGAATTTGGCTTGCACAAACAGCATCAAAATGTCAGATTCAGAGTAAGCGGATCGTAATTCTCGCCCCCGTATTTCTCAATGAAATATCATTTATAATTGATAAATAAAATATCATTTTTCATACAATAAATCTGAAAATTTATTTCTTTTCCTCAATTCTGTTCCAAAAAAATGTTTGAATGGTAGAAAATGGAAAGATGAAGTATTAATTAAGATTGGAATAAGACAAAAAATAACTTCAATTCGCGCATCGGTGCAATTATTCGGCGGTTGCAGCGTAATCACCGCAGTTCCATGCGCATCCAAATCCACAATTTTCATTTCTTTCTCTTCGTGCTGTGTTATGGAATCGGTTCCATAAAGATAGCTATAATATGTTGTCACCTGAAATGAGCCATTTGTCTATTAAAATTCACAAAAATCAAAAATGAGAAGTGATAAAATACCCTCTGCCATATTATAATTATTTTCAAACTCTTTCAAAATATCTTCCGTTCTTGCTTTAAAATATCTTCCGATAATTAGTAATTTCTTGAAAAAAAGAAAATTTAATGGAAGTATAAATTTAGCAGGAATAAATATGTATATTACCTGTACACGTTTAGGTATGGTAGCTTTAACAGGTGTATTGTCCATTTGTTTCAGCGTAATGACAACATTATATCCGAGGCCTGGTTTAAATGTTTCACCCTGTTTTTCCATATCCAATTTAACATCATGTCGATAAGCAACAATCTTAAAAATTAGAATTTAATTTATCAATTTTTTTGTAACATGAAATTTTAGAAAAAAAGAGAACTTTCTTGTTAGCATTATAAATCATAATGTGATGATTACCTGTGCGGTAGCATTTCTTTTAATATCGGTCAAGTCTTCGGTCACTGTTGCAGTAATTCTCACCGAACTACCACCATATCCGGTGACTAATTTATGCTTTTTCAATTCATCATTTGTAAAAACGATCGTTGCTTCTCCCATATTATTCAAATTCACTGTTCTTTCAATAACATTCTCTTGTTCTGCCTAAAATATTTCCAAGTTCTAATTACAAATCATAATGATACGCCTATCCCCTTTTTTCTTTGAAACGTAATAAAAAGTGCTTCATGAAATGATAAATAAAAATTTGTATTCAGACCTTTTGAACAGTTCCATCATCCGCAACAACTAATGGTACCGCGAAATGATGCCAAGGTAATTCTAAAGTTACTTTTGCTTTACCCGATACTCCTTTTCCATATGTATATCTATTAAGAAGGAATAATAATAAAATGATTTGATGCAAAAACACAAGAACAATTAGGATCAATTTTGTCACAGCTAATATTATCATAATTTTAATTATGCTATTAAAAAAATTTGAAATAAATGTATTGATTAGTTTCAAAAATTATTGAAATTACTACGATACGTATTCAGATATTACTCGAATTCTCATTCTACTCATATCTTAATTCAATATCAAAAAAAAAAAAAATGATGACATTGTATAATATATAAATAGATTTTACTTTGCATCAATATGAACGCTTAGATCATCGTTGACAGTAATAAAATTTGGCGTCTTCACGTTTACTTCAAATTTTGGCAATACATACTTATCGACCGTAAAATCTTTCTCAAATTTAATACCACTTTTTGTTTTTACCATTATTTGCCAATCACCAAGCGGTGGTTCCACCGATAGTTCCAATTCATTTGAATACACTCCTGTAAATTATTTTTCTGGATCCTTTTTTTTCTTTTTAATTTATCTTTTTCATAGAAAATTGTAAAGAATTTAGTAATGAATTTACAATAAAATTATAAATTTTCATTCATACCTTTCATCAATGGTTGATCATTTTTCTGACTAATAATATTTTGATTTGGATCTTTAATCATTACAGAAACAGTTTCCGAATAAGGTTTTAAATCAGGCGTCACCACCATTACACGATATCGTACTGCAATTTTTCAGAATATAATTATGAGCATTTAGATTTTTTTTTTGGAATTTAGAAATCATAAATTAATGAAGTAAAATTTAATCTACTGGAAGTTGAAAAATTTAAAAAGACGAACCGACAGATCCAGGCTTGTAGATTGCTTTATCGGTTTGTATGAAGATGGAAAGTGATTTCTCATCAAAACGAACATCTTGCTCATCTTCGAATAAAATCTTTGAACTCAGTGTCTCGCCTCTTACATATACTTTATATGACGGGCCAGGTAGAAGAGTTTCAGGTGATAATTCATCGATTGTTATTGTTTGTGGTATTCCTAGAATTGATCAGTCAATAATTTGATTAGATATAAATAATAGATTTATTTAAATAATCTGTAGCAAAAATCAGCAAATCTTTAAAACTTATTGTGATAACTTTACTCTCTTAAAGTGACACAATAATAAAGTAATTTCAAATGTGCTTTTTAAAGAATTCACCTGTTAAATTTGTAAATTCAAAATGCAAAATCTTTAAGTTTATACTGCCTTTTTGCATACTTCAAGACATGAAAAACTTTTTATTGGATTATATCGAATTTTACAGAAGTTGCAAATTAAATATTTAGTGAAATAAATTTTTTAATATAATAATTGCCATAACAATTATAACAAAAAAACAAATAAAAGATGACCAAAAGAAATTTTCTGATCAATTTTGAAGTCTCGTTTTAATTGCACGATCGGCCTAAGCTCAAACAATCTTCTTTTCTTTTAAACTTTTTTCTCCAATCTTCTTTTTCCGTACCACCCTTTTACACTGTTCTGATTGAATAATTTATATACATCAAATAAAATATTAATCTAAAATTTTTGAGCCAAAATAGCTAGAGAATATTTTAAAAAAACTATATGATAAGGAAATTGAGGATGATAATGATAACCTGTTTTAACATTATTTACAACACGAGCTCCCACTGTATCATTTTGTGCAGTTCGTATTTCAACTCTTACGATATGATCAGTTTCTGAACTTTTGAGTATATTTACCGAAACAGCATACGGTAAACTTGGCCTTACCACTTTAGGCGCGATCACCAAATATGTTCCAGGACTAAAATTTTATTTTAAATTTCAATTATTCAATTAATGCAAATAGAATAACAAGTCTTAATATTACTTCTATAACATTTCAAATGCACACAGTACTTAATGAGTCCATTAATTACTTTCAACATCACAAATCTTTGCTTATAGTAGTTAATTAATTAATCGATCATTAATAAATATTTAGTTACATGCAACTGATATTTTGCCAAATAGGAATTTCAGAAGCTAAATATTAACTCCTTCAACATTTTGAATAAATTTATATAAAAAATAAATTTATACATGATGAAAATTTACTATGTCTGTTCAGGCCCATTAGTGGTTGATTGATGCCAAACTGGTTTTACGGTAGCAACGACTGTCACGCTGCGTAAGGCTATCACAACAAGGCTGAACAGCCGCATATTAAACATTTTGTTCCTCGACGGATCGATCGATCGGCTATCTTTCTGGAAGCACCGATCCGTTGTTCTATTCCTGATATATTTGTTGGGTTATGAAATTTAAGAATGAATAGCAAATGAGAGTTATGTAAAACGTTAAAGAAAAATGATAATGATTGATATCTGATAACGATCAATATCAATCATAATAGTTTTTATATGAGTTAAAAATATGGGATAAGATACGATACAAGATGATATAGTTAGATAGATAGATGCTACTACGATCAAACGATTATTATCAATAAAATGACGAAATGATAATCAAGTGATATTTGTTAGTGCTAATAATTTCTTATCAATACGTATGGACAAATATTTCTGCAACGATCTTTCACGTAGATATTACTCGAAAAATGCTTTATGTTTAAGATTTGCTTTCACAATTTCAATATCAATCGAATGCATCAGTCGAAATATCACATACGTATTTTGTTTAAATTTTTTCCGCTTTTACTTCAATTCAGTACAAAATTATAAAAAAGAAACAATACAGTACCACTAACATTTCGTCTTACCTAATACCATTTGAAGAATTAATAGATGTAAATACTAAAATTTTTAGATTTTACCAATGTCAGCTCATAATCTAAGGATTAATCAAAAATCATTGACAACAGTTTTGAAATTATACCTTTAAATCAGTAAGGAACATATGCTCGGAAAGTTTCATTTTAAATTTCAACAGCAACATTCACTTAAATTATAGGAAGAATTTCAAATTTAAGGGATATTATGATTAATCCGGAAAAGACAACTAAGGGTTATTACAATAATTCCTGAAATGATAACTTCGCAAATTTCAATATTTCTTCAATTAATTGCACAGCAGTGAGGAAAAAAATGAATCGAATAGTTTTCTGTAATTTAAACCGGAATGAAGATTATAAATTATAATTGAGAATATTGAATTGAAAAACCTTTAAATATTGCAACTTATAACCGCGTTTAAATTTTCCTTTAAACTTTTTGCCTTTTATTGTTTAAAATATTCGAAATGTTCTGAAATAGTGTGAATAATGAAAGCTAAAATGTTAAAGCATAAAAATGAGCCATTCTGTTGGAAATGAAGTAAAAAAAGAAAATGATGGGTTGAGAATGCATTTCAATGGCAATAAAATAAAATATAAAATAAAAATAAAATTGCTACCATTCTTGTTGGAATGAAAATGGCAAAATTGAATAAGCAAATAGCGTTCATTGCATTTGTAATGGAAATATTAGCAAAGTTTAAAAAATTCCTCTGACATTTCTCTGACGTGTTATTCATATAATCTACGAATTTCGTTAAATCTATTACAGTATCAACAAAAAAATCTTGAAAAATCAAAAAAAAATTTTAAATCTTATACGATATTGACTGCTAATAGGGAATAAATAATACAACAACAACAATCATTAAATATTATCGATTCATATATAATCAATAGTTAACAATTTTACGTGTTTAAAAATTAAATCAAATTCTTTTCACTCCCGAAAAAAGATCACGTGATGATGATGATAAGATGCAATTCTGTCAGCTGCTTTAAAATGATTCAGTAAATCAATTTTAAAAAAAGAAAATTTTGTAATTGAATATGAATAATGAAATGGGCAATTAAAAGTGATGCTTAAATCATTTCGCAACAGCTAAAACGAATAAACATTTCCACAACAATTATTACAATCAAATTCCTATAATAATATTAAATAAATAGCAATTATTGATTATTTCCATTTCATATGTTATCAAAATCAATCTTTCCTAAATTATTGCTATGAAAAATCTGCAAAAATAATCGTGATTAGTCCAGTTTGTAATGCAAAAATTGTAATACGAAAATGGGAAGTAAAATGAGAAGGGAATGCCTTACGAGTTGGTGTGATGCACACACTGCTCGCTCGGTTTCAACTTCAAAATCAAACCAGTTTTATTCATTCAAATTTTTTTTTGGAGAAATTTTTGATGGAAAAAAATTTTTCGTCTTGTTTTTTTTTTATTTTTTTTGTACTGGGTAAGAAGAAATTTAGGGGATAGGAAAAATTCCACTTACAAAACATATTTTCATCCATTAATGATAATCAAATCAATCAAAATTATCAATTTAATGATTGGGAAAAGTTAGTGAAAAATTCAGGTTTCATTAATTTTAAATTGTTTATCTGACAGCAGGTTTATATTAATTGAAAAGAGTAATTTTGTTTGTAATTCAAAAATCTATTCCAAATTAGATGACCGTATGATAAATAATATCAATTTACTATGATAATATAATATAAGCGTGCTAGGAAATAAATGTTAAATGCAATAAAATAATTAAAAGAAATCGATGTTCCTTTTTTTTCGTTATTGCCAACTTAATGAGGAAAAAATGATTGGGAGAGGATGAATTTATCGTTTTATTTGACGTATAAAAATCTTATGACCGATGATAAAAGTACCAATCGATTGTTGGATAGGATGAATGGATGGAGGAGAATCATATATGACTGTTTTGCAATGATATGATAATGATCGCAGCACATATTATCGGATATAATGATGATAAACAATTTTGATTGTTTAAGAGAAAAATGTCGAATGTTTATTGCATATTTAACATCACGAGATAAATCAATCGATGGATCAATTTCAATGATAAACTTTTTATTGATGAAATTAGCAAAATTTTAAGATAAATTTGAAAAGAGAAAAAAAAAAGATTAAACGAGGACAAAATGAATTGTACGGGTTATCGTTGAGTTTGTAGAGAGGAATTGAGAAAGGATTGAAAAGAAAGAAAAAAAAAGGATTGCGATGCCAGAAAGAGGAGTTCAAATGTTTGTCCTCGGGAGAAGAATCATTAATCTTAATTGCTCTACCAGCATTTCTGTTTTTCACTTTCACTAATTAGTTAATCAGAGATTGCCTTCTATATCGCATATAATACTTAACTATTCGGCCATTCCGTTTCTCTGCTATTTCGACATCCAAGGACATTCGTCAAATAAAACTGATGATTTACTAACCATCCATTTATGACACATCGATAACAATGTGATAATGATGATAATAGAGAGGATATATGACAGGAAATACAATCATTTTAATATATCACATTACAGTACTAAAATATATCATTTACGATTGTAAATTGCAATTTTAAAAATTGCTTTAAATTTAAACAAAACGCAATTATGAGTATTGGATTGCAATTTTTGAAATTGTTTAAATTTAAAGAAAATAGAATTATGAGTATTAAATTGGAACAAAAAGAACATCGATGATTCTAATCTTATTGCAATTATTGCAAATGATAAGAGAAGTGTGTGATATCAATTTGGATTGATAAAACTCCCGCGTGGATGAAATATAATCTTACAAAACATAGTAAAAGTAAAAGTTTAAAAATGATTTAATTTCGTATACAACAAAAAATTTATTTTTGGGTAGTATTTCAGGGAAAATTTGATAGGATTGGAAGTGATAAATAAGAGATATATTTCATTAGAAATAAGACTTAAATGATGATGTTTTTTCTTGATAATTGGAAATCCTATCTATAAAAAAAATCTATCGTATATTTTCTCAATCAAAATTGATTGCCAAAAATGATGGTAAACAATTTTTTTCATTTGAGAAGATTGTTTGGGGCACAAAAAAATATTTCAACAGTGTTATTCATTTAAAAAAAAAAAAGAATTTTTTTAGAAATGTTTTTTTTTCACACGCCAATAACATCTGTTTTTTTCTTTCAAAAAGAGAAAAAAAAACCAAACTGCTTTCAATTAATCCAGTTTTTTAAACCATTCAACAATTCTGTGCAAGAGAATTCAAAATTTAATATGAAGAATTTAAATTTTAAAATTAAACAAGTTGTTGAATTGAAGTGAAGAAATAATGATTGCAAAGGATCGTAATGGGTTGTCATTGTTGAACAATTAAAGTGGATAATAATCTCATCCATTTCTCTATGTGCCATTCCTCTTTTTCCTATCCTACTTCTGTCACGATCTATTTGTACCAGCGATGATAACAATAACAATAATAATAATAACGATGACGACAACAACAAAAACAACAACAACAACGACAACAACAACAGCAACAACAACAACAATTCATTTATTCCTATTATTATCAATAATTGTAAGAACAATATTTTTACAGTCAACAAATAATTTATTTATCTGCATTTCACAGAGATAATCAAATCTTTATTTACTACTTTTCAACAATATCTTTATATAATTTCATTGCTATTTTTTTAACGAATCAGTATTAATATTACTGCTAATTTGAAATATTTGATTTGGTAGCCTTTTATCAATCAATCAATCGTGTCAACTATATTTTAGTGGAATGAAATATGACTTAAGGTGTTTGATTTTACCTGAATTATTTCTCTATTTAAGATACAAGGAATTTCAGCACTTAAAAGTGAAATTATCAATTGAAAATCGCACAAGTGCCTTAGTTGAATTCTTTCACAGAACATTTATGAATAACAAAGGAACCGTCGACCAGATTTAAAAAAGAATTACCGGAATTACTGTTGCTAAATGAAAATATAAATCTGGTGAAAGTGAAAGTTTCCGAAAGATTTTAATGATAAGAAAAACATGGTAAGAAATTTTGATTAAAAATGAAAATGGAATTAACTCTGATGTTTTTAGATTGAAGATTGAATTGCATTAATTAAATGAATGTAGGAAAAGTTTAAAGTATTTTAAATTTGAATTTTAAGAATATTAGAATACGAAAAAATATCAATTTGGATTTGAAATCGATTGTAAGTGTTGCTGGTACTTGCGTGACATATATTTAAGCTATCAGCATGAAGCTAACGGTTCTGAGTTATTGGTCAATGCCCACCATGAGAGATATGACATTGTCCACAACATGTAAAATCCAATTCTTCATTCCCGTTTATCCTTCATTTCATTGTCATCTCTTTCATTTTATATCATCACATCTCTGCCCTTTTATAATAATAATTTATTTAGGCTTTTCAAATTATAAAATTTATAAAACATTTCTGAATGAGCAAATTAGATTGGATTAAACCGACAGTAGCAAACGGCTAATTGAGAAATATAATCAGTTTTGAAAATTGAATTTGTTTACCCGTCAGAAGCATATCTCGAATGCTTTCGAGAGAGCAAATAAGTGAATTTAAATCTTAAATGGAATATAGAGAAAGCTGTCAAGCATTAATTCGTCTTGAGTACATTTCATTCTTTTTTTCATTCGTTATATTTCAAAATAAAATAAAAGCGTTATTTTCGGTCACAGAAATTAGGAAGAGAGAGAAATAAATAGGTTATATTAAAAAATTGAAATCTTGTTTATTGATGATATTTCTAATCAGCAATAAAACGTGAAATATAAATCCGGTCAACTGTAACAAACTCATTGAGAGAGGAAAATTTTTGACATTTTTTAAAACTTCATCATGCTTTTAATTTATTCAACCAACATTCTTCATTCTTTCATCTTTTTGATTGGAAATTTGTTAGCATTGATAATATCTAAATCGTGAGAAAACTCAAATTTTTATATTTTTTTTAAAGATTGCAATTACCCAGTATAATTAACACAAAATGTCCAGTACAGAATCGTTTACTATTTATAGATTGTAATATCAAACGGATTGTATGTTACATATATTCGTAATAGTGTATCACGTATATTAGTACATGTACATCAGTCATATCAACGTAAGTAACTGCAAAATGTGGAAAAATAAAGTTGATCATTTATCGTGACATCGAGAAAGCTATATGATCAGTGTGATCTTATGAATGAGCTAACACGATACGTGATCTCAACATCCGACGTAATGCTAATGTGATACATGACTTCAATACGCAATTAATATCTGAACTCAGTATTTCTAATATAGTGCGCATTATTTCAAATTGAATTATAATTGATAAAGGAATTTTATTTTTGTAAAAATGTTAGTTCTATTTCAGTGATATTCCTCATTCTTCAGGTACTGCATCATTAATTTAGAAGTGGAAAATTGAATGAATTTAATGCTTGGATAATTTCTTCTTTTAAGTAACAATATGATAATGATTTTCAAAGATTTTCAAACATTTATTCCTTAAAAAAACATAAGACTACCATCAGAATAAATTCTAATCGATAGTCTATAAGTAATTTAAAAACTTATTATCCTCAATCATTTTTGATCTTTTGAAACCTTTTTAGTTAAGCTTTCAACATTCCTTGTTAAAATATTACGTGAATCAGTAATAGAGCATAAAGTGATTATAACGAATATAGATTGATGTATTTAAATTTAATTAGTACCCAATAATTTGAATGTTTGAGGAATGTATTGAAAAATAAATAAAAAATATTTTGGATTGCATCTTTCAACGATAACATATCAAAGAGGTCGAGAAGCAAAATAGCGATGTAAATATGGAAGTGTTGGAGTGCTACAGTAAGCATCAATATCACAAGGGAAAAAAGAAAAACTGAATGAATCTGGAAAATGAAGAAGGATAAGACTTAAGGCTTAAGGCTTAAGTGGAGAGGATTACAGTACGGGCCTTTCATCATATTCCTAATCATTGAGTAGTACAATAAACAAGTAGCATAACAAATATAATCCAACCTTTGCACAACTGAGCTGATTCTGAAGATAGAGAAAAGGAATAAAGTGGAAAGAAGCGGATAAAAGATTGAAAAGAGTGAAAGTTCAAAAGGTCAAGAAAGAAGGGAAAAACGAAATATAGGAAAGAACTAAAACAAAGAAAAAGCATTTTCTCTAGACATTATTATAGTCAGTTTTTCTTTTAATTTTACCAATTTATTAAATTTTGAATTGTCAAATTTTTAGTTCTTCGAACATTTGTTCTTTATCGAAATTCGCAAAAGAAATGATTTAATTGATATTCCTTCGGCCAGCATTTACTGGTAATACATGAAATTGCTACGTGTGTAATTTGATTTTTATTTAAGAAAAAATGAAATAATTGCATTGAATAATTGTATTTTTTTAATTTGAACATACGAAATAAACAAAAAATGAAATAATTGCATTTTTTATTAATTTGAACATATGAAATAAACAATTTCCAGTTCATTTCAAATTTTTTGCAAAAACAATTTCTCAAAAAAAAAATTGAAATGAATTGGAAATTATCGCATGTTTAAATTTCAGCAATAATGATTACTATTTTTGCATTCCAATACGAAATGATAATGAAAATAGGTTGGTTTGAGTAAACTGTTATTTTGCATTTCCATTTCTTGTTTTGGTTTTGTAAATAATTAAAAGTTTAAGCAAATATTCCTGCACTAGGCAACAACGATTCTAACTTTCTCGAAACTTTTTGCATATCTCCATTTTCCTTCACTGGAATTATGATAATAAGAGAGAAAGAAATATTCCCTCCTAAGCTTAAAACAAGATCGGTCTTTTTCACAAAGTCCTTGCAAAAACATGAAAAAAAAAATCTGATATCATAATTACATAAATGCTATTTCGATTGCGGTTATACAAATTTTATAAGCAATTGTCAATAAGAGTTAAATTAATCTCCAATTTTTAATTAAAGTAGTCATAACTTTAAAAAAAAGATGAAATTAAATAATTAAGAATAGCCGAAATAAAAGGTTTTTTTATATCGAAGTGCAGGAAATGAAAAAGAAATTTCCAATTAAAAATAGTATTTTTGGAAGTTTAGAAAAAAAATTTCCAGCGAAAAAGAGAAAATACAAAATGTATGAAATTAAGTCTTTCTAGCGCATTTGATGTATTTATAAAAATTTGTCAATAAAAGAGAGAAGAAAATAAGGAATTTAAGATCCTATCTTATTTCATCCTTTATTTTAAAGCAACGTTCTTTTGAACTTTGATTGAGTAAGAAAATTTTCATCATCTGAAAACAAAAAAAAAAACAAAAAAAAATCATCCTAAATTTTTTGGTTAGCAAAAGAGAAAAATTTTGCTGCTTTCACATCTTTCGGATTTTTCAAAAGAAGAAGATTAATATGTGAATATTTTTAGATAATTTCAAGCATAATTCAGAATTCTTTTCTGATGTGATACATTTGCAGAAATCAATAATTGATAATGTTGAACAATAATGATTTATATGATGCACAGATGGAAGTTTTCAGAAAATTTCACAAAGCATTCCATTTCCAACGGATATTCTTTGAAATTGACATCTGACAGATTAATTTCTATCGTCTGCTTAATTGGTAGCTAAAGTTATTGGTGATTTTAAATGTTCGGTAATCCTTTCATCATTATCATTTCTGTGATTCATATGAATAAAGAGAGATATAAGAAGTTGAAACAACTTTTGCCTTTCAAATTAAACGATTATTGTTGTTATGAGAAAATTTGAAGATTATTGAAATGTTGAGGAATAACTTGACTTGTGAAATTTCAACAATTCTTTTACTTCAACTTCTCAAATCAATTCATACATCATTTATTCCTTCCTACTTATTCCGTGTTTTAATGAAACTATCAAATAATTTAGAACAAATTTTTGCATACAATTAAAAGTTCCGATTCAAGTAAAGCTATCGAGAAAATCGCAAAGATATTTGGGCGCATTTGTCTTTGTTATAAGGGAAATAATTATCATATCTTCCTGAAAATACAAGATATCGAAGATGAGGCAAAAAAAATTCATCTCTAAAATATTTGAGCCAAAATGGATAGATGATTAAATTTAGGAGTTAAGAAGTTGAAAAAAAAAATTGTATATAAGTAAGCGGTGAAAAAAATTAAGCAATCACAAATAGTTCTAGAAAATAGTATTTTGTAAATATGAAAAAGATTTCAGGTAATTTCGAGAATTCTCTTCGATGTATTTTTATTTTTTAAGATTTTATTGAAAATTTTGAAGATTTAAAAAATTTGTAAATCGTTTTTTTTCATGATCTGCAAAATTAATGACTTATTTCGGTTGATATATTTCCAGGAATCTTTGAGGAATGAATGTATCAATCAATTTATGATAATATATTTGGCTGACAGTTGACAAAATAACATATATAATTTATATGAATTCATGAGAAAAACAGTAACCAGGAATATTAATTTTCCTTGCGACGGCTAAAAATATTAATTTTCCTTGCGACTGCTAAGAATGTCAGTGTTCCATGCAAAAAAGCAAATAGTTTGTAGGACAGTTTAGAAATATTGCCGAAGAAAAAGAGATACGAAATGGCGAAGAGAGTTGCATGTGCTTGAAACATTTTCCAAAATTAGAATAAAGCTAATGGTACTGATTACTGATATGATAGCAATTATGTTACAATCTTCATTTTCAAACATTCCAGAATCACAAAGTTTATAATTGTAGCAAATTTGACCAGTCTAAACCAATAAGCCATCGTGCAAATTTCCTCGCATAACTTTCAGGATCATCATCAATTTCGGTACACGATTGACCATTTACGGTACCTTCAAAAGGCTCAATTCCGGACTCGATGCTTTCGATAAGCTCTATTACTGCACCATCCAATGTAATCTGTACCGTTCGACCAACCATTCCTTTTTTCAACAAACGCATTCGTCGACCATCAGATGGAAATTGAAGATGATATATCTAAAAAAGCATAGACTTTATTGAAATATTCATTGAAAATTTCAATCATTTGTTCAAGAATTATGAAGCAAACTTGACATCGATCATTTCTGATTAATTTTAAACTTTAATCGTTGCGATGACCTAATAATATCTTAATTCATTTTTAATCTGTCATTTAATTTTAATTCTCTAAAAGTGTCCTTTAAAAGTAATTGAAATGAAAGAAGGAAGGTCAAACGTTATGTAATTCTTGCATATTCCTTCCATTTATTTGACTTCCGTTCTCGTTACCCTTGTCAAATTTATCATTGTTATAATTAACCATAATATTTTTCAATGGTATCCTATCTGAATTCCTAAAAATACTTTTAATTTAAATAAAAAGCATAGAAATTATAATTTTATTTTTACCATATCTTCAGATCTTAAGCTTCGCTTACTGTAACCATATTATAATTATTATCAATTAATAAATGATAATGACAATTACTTGAATGTCATTTCCTCCATATGTCCTCGTTGGGAAGCATTTTGTTTGGAAATATCGAAATTATTTGCATCTTAAAAATGATTATCTTTAAGTGAACAGCTGAACTTTTATTATGCAACTGATCTTTCACCGTAAAAAGGAACAATAAACATTTTCACGACAATGCAAAACTCATACCATCGAATTTAACATTCATCCATGTGGTAAATGTGGTACCATCATTATGGATTACAAGCACATTATTAGTTTGTTTACGATGAAGCATATTTGTATAAGCTGATAAGCAATCACATGATTCAGATAATTGCAATGATTCGATTGCAAAATTTACCTACAACAAAAATGATTCATAATAAATTGCACTCAAAAAAATTTTGATGTTTATTTTAACAGAAGGATAAAGAATTAATTTAAGAAGGAAAAAAGAGATTTTTTTAAAAAAGAAGGAGAAAGTTGTGACTAACTTTAATGTCAAGCAATTTTTCCTGAGCTGTTTGACGAAGCTCATTTACATCACCAACTGCCAATGATATCTGCAATTGTCACTAAATTATTCATATAATAATAAATTAATTTAATTGAATATATATTGACTAACCATTAAATTCATTAGTAGAATGACTGTGCTTATTTCAAATGCTAACAGAAGCAAATTCGGTATCCATTCTTTTCGTTCCAACACATTGTCCGCATCAACTTCACCTTTAATTTAAAAGATTAGTTTCTTTTATTTTAGATTGAAAATTCATTTAAATCAGATACAATTTAAGAGATCAATGATCATTGCAGATTTTTGTTTTCAATTTTTATAAGACAAGAATTGTTACAATTAGAAAGCAAACAAATTGTGATGTTTCATTTTTTTTTTGTTTTGGGAAACAAAAAAAGAAACGAATGTGAAGATAAAATAACCGATCATCATAGCTGAGGTTTTTGTGATCGCTTGCAGTATCATTAGCAGTTTCTGGGATACTGTAGCATTTTGTGAAAACTAAAAGTAACAATCGTTTCACTTATCAATAAAGCAGATCTTATTACAACTTTTCCAATATTATGGCCATATGTTTTTATAAACAGAGTTACATGAAATTTTCAAAATATAAAATCATATTAGCCCTTAGATTGTATTATGCTATTAGCTAAGGTATACCAATTCCGCGGCTTCCCAAGGTTCTTGACCACTATTCCGCATAACGAGATGAAAAGCGAATGCAAATGCGAGAAGTGTTGGTAACCATATTATCGCAATCTGTATTTGATCATTACTATCACTGTTGCTGTTGCTATCATCACAATGTTTATCGGTACTATTATCATACAGTGGTTAGTTATCACTCTTACAATTGTTATTAATGTTATAACTATTGAAAAAGAAAATCATTTCAATATATTGAAAAATGTCAATGTTGCTAAAATCTGGTCGGTAATTTTGAAATTTTATGAATAAACGAACGTTAAAGATAATTATGAATCGATTTGAATAAATGAATCTAATTTTAATGACTGTTTTATAGTTGGATGTTGCAACATATATCAGCACCAGAATCTCTGGTTTCTCGGATTTATGGATTTCATTGTTGGAATGGCTGTTCGAAAATTATATGGAATGTGAATGAATGAATAACAAAAAAAAAAAGGAAAAAAGGATAGAAGGAAGAAGCGGAAAAAGTAAAATGAGAAAAAGAAGAACAAATTACATCAAAATATTAATTTATATTTTTTTATTCCATTCTTTCTGATCAACCCTCACTATTTGTCATACTAAAAAAAAATCGAAGGTTTTTTAATTAAAAAAATCAATACTATCTATTTTGATACTCCATCTCTCATCCTGCTTTCCCGTTATATTTATCTCTACTATTTTTAATCGATAAAAATATTGTCACATTTTAAATGAAGCAATGCAAAATGTTTAATTTTTAAGTTTAAATTTTGACACGGGCAAAATTTTAAGTTTAAAATACAAAAAGGAAAGAGAAAAATAGTAAAGAATTAAATGTATTAAAATATATTGCTAGATAAGTGTAAGTATATTACTTGATATATTGTTAAGTTTATATTGAGAAAATAAGAAGAATGAAATGATCAATAAATTGTAAAAATGAAAAATTACCTGAGAGAATGAATAAAGGATACGTGAAAGCATAAGAATGTAAATACCGTACGGTGACTTTCGAAGGATGTACAAAAAGTTAATCCATGCCGAAATGATAGCAATGATTGGTAATAACCAGGTGATGAAATGCTATAAGTGAAATAATTAAATATGGCTTATCAATGATTATCACTATCTGCAAGCTTAATGCATTTTTCCACCTACCCTTTTTTCTTGCTAAACCAAAGATGTATCAATACATATTCAGTAATATTTTAATTTAAGTTAATTACTGACTACTGTTAAGTAATATTTAAGCATTTAACCTTTTAGAACCAATTGATACGATTTATCAAGTTTATATTGATTAGAATCCTAAGCCTTATTTTGTGGTCTATTTTGATTTATTTTTTGTAATAAAATCTAACCAAATAAAAATAACATTTTTTATGATTATATTAGCTATAATGGCAAAAAAAGGCCTTTTTCTCTACAAGGTATGACAAATAAATGCATTTATTACATCCAAATTGATAAATTAATATTCTAAATTTTAAAAATATTAATTTCTTCAACTAATTTTCCTATGGAGTTAAAAAACTTCAAAACTTAAAACTAATTTCTAAAATTTGCAAGAAAAAAGAAAAAAAGATAACCTTCAAATCGGGGTTGTAATCATTATAGGAAAATAATAATGGCGTCCAAATAAATAGAAAAGTAGCGATATATGTTATAACATTAAAGGAATACGACAGTATGAACCATTTGCTAATTTTACCTGCTTGCAATTTTACTGCACATTTTACCACCTATAAAATACAGGAAAATCTTTAAATGATAATTTCAATTTTCAAATAATAATTTTATCGCAGATAATTTTTCGTTTATTTAATCAAATCAATAAAATCTATCAGTAATTATTGGTATTATTATGAAAATTTCCTTCGTTTTACAGTAATAGATGCTATCAGTATTCGTTATTTGAATTATCAAAAAGTAAAGAGTTTTTTTTTTTTAACTGCTAATTTTGTAAATTTCGAAATCTCATAGATATGAAAAGTAATAAGAGCTTAAGGTTTTTTTTTTTTTTCAATTTACTGATATAATCAATAAAAATAAGTGATGAAATATTTGTCGCATTCTAAAAACATTTAATTTTAAAATACTTTTATAATTCCTAAATTTTATTTTACTGCAAAAAAAACGCATCAAAATGGAATTGAAAATTTTTACACAAAATCGATTTATGAAAAAATGCAAAACAGACCAAACAAAATCCAAAAACGATCAGAAACAACGTTGATAGAATATCCTGCACACTATTTTTACCAAAAATATAACTTGAGAGTAAAAGTAGAAATATCAAATATGACAAAATATGTGCAACATAAAGAGAGGCCTGTGAGAGAAGTATTTCGTTGATAAAATTGAGTACCATTGGATGTCGAATTACATTCCATCGATGGTTATCTCTCTGCAAATTTCTCATTTCAATTAAATGCATTAATTCTTAAATTGATTTCAAATTAGATCAAAAATAATGGATTGATCATTTGCATTATTTATTTCAAATATTTGATTCATTCATTTATTTTTTCCTATCAGCTATTTTAATTAATTGATTAATTCACTACCAAATATTTCAGCTCGCGCCAGCTTATTATTTCTTCTTCTTCCTCTGAACCATCTATAATAAATCATTAATTAATCTTTCGATTCATCTTTTCCTTTTTAAAATACATGATTATGTGAAAGTATTGAAATTGAATTGAGATAAATAATAAGTATAATCAAAAATCTTAAGTATAATCAAAACAATCAAATAATAAGTATAATCAAAACAATCAATTTGTATATCATTACGGTAATCCATTTTAAGCAAATATTTTTATTATATTTTATGTTTTAACAACCTTTAAGACAACAATTTATTAATTTAATTCTAACTTTTATCATATTGCTAATAGTGCTTTTTAAATTTATTGTTGTAACACAATAATATATTACAGGGTCGATTTACGAATATTATATTTAAGTTACCGTATCGAAA